GTATTTTTGTTCTATTTTGCTCCGATTTGCTGCAGTGAACAACCTGCTCACGTGGATCATAGTTCTGTATTGTTACATGCTGATCGGTGCATGTATGGAGAGTTTTCTTCTTACAAATATGAAACAATTATATATACATAGTTATATAGAGAAAACACACAAAAGGTCATAAATGAGTGACTTAAATTGATATTCCTTTGAAGATCCTTTCTCAGAATATGTCCTAAGGAAAACATTCCTTTGGGCATCTAGTTGTGTTTCTACATGATAATTGGTTTTATTCCTTAGGTTAGGTCTAGGTTTATCACTTTATGGTTTTATGATACTGTTTACTACCCTGTTTTCCCAAAAATAAGATCTAACCTGAAAATAAGCCCTAATATGATTTTTCAGGATCCTGGCAATATAAGCCCAACCCCCAAAATAAGCCCCAGTTAAATGAAATCCCACCCTCCACAATTGTGCAGCCACCAGAAGAAGATGACATGACTGTATTTGAATAAATGTAGATTGCTGTATGTGAAAAAAATAAAACATCCCCTGAAAATAAGCCCTAATACAAAATAAGCCCTAATGTGTTTTTGGAGCAAAAAGTAATATAAGACCCTGTCTTATTTTTGTGGAAACATGATAGAGGTAGAGATGTGTGTGTCTTTGCACTTCTGAAACAATGGCCACATCCTATAATGCACTGGGAGATGCACGGGACCTTGCTCTAATTCAGTGGTTCCCAACCTTGAGACCCCAGATGTGTGAGGATGGAGAAGACAGGCAAAATGGGAGGGTGAAGGATGTTGAGATGGACATGTCAAGAAACAATGCCACCAGATTTGTGTGGAAAGATGATAGGGGGGATGACCTAGTACATTCCAGTACCCACTAACGCATATCCTCTCTATGTGATGATGCAAATACAGTACTAGGATGATGTATTCGGATGTGGCAAACAAAAACAAACCTGAATTACCAAGAGCAGTCCCAGATCCATCAAGGACAACACTACTGTGTGGATAAGATCTGAAATCACAAAGTCCGCTGTCTGATTTTGCAATGAGGGTAATTTGTCACTGGGCTGGGGTGGAGGTGGAAATCTCCTCGGCGATTTTAGGAAAAGGTGCCTTTTGGCTCTGGTCTCTGAGCCACCCATTTCGGACCAGTCACTATCCTTCAGCCTATGTTACCTTACAGTTTTGTCTGAAGATAAAATAGGGGTGTGAGGGGAGAGAGAGAGGAAAAAACTGTTCTACCCTACATTATTTGCAAGGAAGGGAGATGAAAATATCACCGATACATAATTGTCAAAGGAGTGGCCATGTTATAATATTGCAGAAAAAACAACATAAAGCCTTCTCACACATTAAAAGACAAATGCATTTATCACTGCACATGCTTTTGTGACACTAATGAAATAAATTGACAGCGTCCACGAAAGCTTAAGTTGTGATAAATCTTTTTCAAAACGGGGGGGGGGGGAGGCAGTTACTATGTGCAGAATGGCTTTTTTTGTATACCAGACATGTTCTGTGTTGGTTTTCTTGCCTGTAGGCAGTTGTGAAGGAATTGTAAAAGGAGGAAAGCCAGAGTGAGCTGTCCCCTCAATCAGAGACGCCCGAGCAGAAGAAAGAGATGGGGGCAAAGGGAGTCACAGAGAACAAAGAACTGAATGTAGGGAAAGAAAAGGGAACAGAGTCAAAGGAGAAAGGAGAACAGATTGAGATATGCCTGATGGAAGAGGGACAGAGAAAAGGAGAGGAGGGGCTAATTCTGTCTGTATGGGGGAAAGAGGAAGAAAGGAAAGGGAGAGAGGAGAAACGAAAGAAGGAGAAAGTGTGAAGGCAGGAGGAGAAGGGGATGACAGAGGATGAGATGGTTGGACAGTGTCATCAAAGCGACCAACATGAATTTGACCCAACTCCGGGAGGCGGTGGAAGACAGGACAGCCTGACGTGCTCTGGTCCATGGGGTCATGAAGAGCCGGACACGACTTAACGACTAAACAACAACAAATGATAGAACAAGAGAACTATTAGAAGACATCCCTAACCTAAAGATAGGGGGATTATTGCCGGATCCAGAGGCATCTATGAAAAAGCGATCATCGACAGGTTTTTTGGAATGGACTGTGGTGGTTTATCCGCAGGGACACAGTCCCTGGAAGAAGGTGGTCCGACCAGATGCTTCCTTCAACCAACCCCTATCGGGGGGAGATTGAGCCAGACACCCCTGCTGTGGCACAATTTGTGCAGTACAAAGTACGCCGATGAGGAAACCAACAGATCGAGAACGTTTGGGGCCAGCACCTCAATGAATCCCGTCCATTTTGGGACAGAGTTGTCATCCCCTCAATATGGACAATTATCTGAATTTGGTTGTTTTAAACCTGTAGAAATTGTTATAGACTCTACCCAGTGTTGAGTTAAATAAATTTGCTGATGTTCAAAAAGAGACTCCGTTGTCATTTCCCGCCAAAAGGGAGGAACTGCTTCAGGCTTTTGACAAACCCAGTCACAACAGTTCCCCTCTTTTCCCTTCCAACTAGCCAAATTTAGAGTTCCCCCAACTTCCTTGTTACAATTTTTCATGATTTCTAAAAGAAACAGCACATCAGAGGACAGTGAGAGAGCCGGTGTTTGCATGCAAATAAACCCTTTCATTCTCTCATTGCCCGGCGGCTTATAATTATCAGTAAATCTGCCAACCCTCTGCAGGAATCTAAGCTTCAGAGAAACTCTCCTTGCTGCCTCTTTCTTTTCTCTTTCTCTGGTATCTAGAAACAGGGTTGACAGTACCAGTAGGGAAAATAAAATGGTTTCCCTTTCATGACAAAGACGGGGAGGAAACGGCCAGGCAAAACGATGAACATTGTTCTCCTCCGCATTGACTGCCTTGTGGCCCAGTGGATTGCCAGCTCTTCAAGGGCTACAAGATGTCCTCAAACTTCATCTGCTTCCTCCAGGTCTCCAGAGAAGAAGATAAATCTCAGAGTGAGTGGCACTAGAGTATGACACCGTTTTATGACTGAATGGCAGAAATCCAGTAGAAAGTCTCAGATAG